ACCTGTCCTCGGTCTCCCATCTCTCCCCCACCACGCCTGGGTCTGACCTGCGTTTTGCAGAGTGTGGGATGCCCCCCACCCCAGTGTGGCATGTGAAGCCCTGGACTGATGGAAGGCCTGGGTTCTAGTCCCCAATCTGCCCCCACCTTGCTGGGTGGCCTCGAAGTGGTGTTTTAACCTCTCTAAGCCTCAGTTTACCTTCTGGGAATTGGGGATTCTAGCGACTGCAGTATCTCCGGATCCAGTTCCGGTGAGACTCCCAGGGGTGAGCAGATAAAGAGGGCTTTTGAAAAGTACAAAGAACTGTACTCACGATGGTGAGATTATTATTGTTACCTTGATGTGGAGATAAGGGAGGGGGAGGAGGTGCAGTGACAGTTGCCAAGAAACCCTGGAGCTGTCAGCAGCGGCTTCCGGCCTGGCCCATCCCACTCAGGAGCTGGTCCCCTCCCCCAACTCCCCTGCTGCACCCTTTCCCTGGGAAAGAGGGGTGCTCCAGGAGGGAAGGGAGCTGGGGCCAGCTGGCTGGTGGCCATGTGTCTGTGGGGCCTGAAGGTGACCCAGGAATGTGCCTGCCCCGAACTCCAGGTCGGCTCCCAGCTTTCTCTGTGACCTTGAGCAAGTCACCTCCTCTCTGGCTACCACCTTGTCTGTGTCCAGGTGTCCTGTACCTGTAGGCAGGTGTCCCGGCCAAACAGGGCAGGATTACTGCTGGGCTTAGGGAAGATGCCTGGAGGTGGCTGCAGAGCCAGGACCTGCGATGGGAGGCCGCTGGGGGCCACGCTGGGCAGCAGAACTGAGGTCTGGGTTGAGAGCAGCTGTGGTGTGTGTAGTAAAAGTACCCTGGGCTGGAGTCAGACCTTGGCACTGCCCTTTCCTTGGTACGACCCGGGGCTTGTCACTGAGCCTCTCTGAACCTCAGTTTTCTTATTTGGAAAAAGGTTGATAATAATCCAACCTCACAAAGCTGCTGTGGTGATCAGATGAGACAACGCCTGTGTCAACTAGAGTGCTGTGCAGATACACGCTATGGCCATGGCAGGGAAGGCATGCTCCAGGCACCTTCCAGATGCTACATGTGCAGGAAGAATGCAAAGCATTTTAAGCTGGGCCAAGCCATCGCATCAAGAAGGTTGTCAGAGAAGCGGGGAGGGGCAGAGGCCTGGGGACCTTCTGTGAATGGAATGGTGGAGACCAGAAGGAGTCAAGGGGAGGGATAAGAGAGAGAGAGAGAGGTTCTAGTGCATGAGAGGGAGGAAATTGACCAAATTGGGGGAGGTCTGCAAAGGCCAGAGGCAGAGGGGAGAGAGGGATGGGCCAGAAAGGTGGGGGAGAGAAGGGGAGAGGTAGGAAGGCTGAGAGGAGGAGGAGGCATCAGAGGGGGCTAGAGGGATGGGGAGGGAGGCGAGAGGCTAAGTTTATTCATTCCTTCAAAAGTATCGAGAGATTGCTATTTACTAAGAGACAGCGTAGCGTAGCGTTAGGGCACAGTACCTAGACCTGATGGTCAGGGGTCCAAACCCTCCGTATTTCACTCACATCTACCGTCAGCGCGACCTTGGACAAATGGCTTAACCTCTCCGTGTCTTAGTGCCCGCCTCTGAATGGTGAGGATTGGATGAGTTAATACAAGGGAAGCAGTGGCGTTGGCTGCTGTTGCTACGATGATTATTGCCTCTCCAGGTGCCGTGCTGGGCCCACAGGGCCGGCCTCCCATTCTGTGGGCTCTGCACTGACAAATCTGGGTTCAAATGCCTGCTCTGCCTCAGGGACGGTGTGACCTTGGGCAAGTCAGCATCCCCTTTACCAGCCTCCGTTTCCTCACGTGTAAAGCCAGCCGTTTCTGAGTGCCTGTCTCCCAGGAAAGCTCTGAGGATTGAATAAGGTCATGCAAGGCGCAGGGCAGCTGTGGCTTTTGTTCTTATTGCCCTTCTAGCGCTCAGCTGGGCTGGTGGGGATAGGCAGGGCCCAGGGCCTCTGACTTCCTGCTGTCCTCATCCTGGATTCCTTTCCCTCCCCTGCCCTTTAGGACCTCAGCATGACCTTTTAGGTGGAATTACCTGGGGGAGGGAGAGGGGGAGGGGGAGGGGGAGGGCTGGGCATTGCTTGTGAGGAGCAGGACTCTGGCCAGCCAAGACCTCGAGAGCCGAGGGCCTTGAGGCTGGGCCCTGGACGGAAGCCAGAGCCCCCTGGTCTTTGGAGAGTTCCCTCGTCCTGTGCCCACGTGAACAGTCCTGACTGAGATGGGCACCCGGGCATGGGGAGACTGAAGCTGAGAGCGTTCTGGAAGGGGCCCATGTTAGGGAGCTGCTGCCAGGCTGACCTACAGCAGCACGGCAGGGGACAGACAGGAGGACACTACCCAAGTAGCTCCATCACGGCCAACAACCTCCACTCAGCAGCCAGGGCCACGCCAAGACGGTGGTCCCAGCACCAAGGGGCCAGCCTCACCCGGGCTTCAACCCAGGACTTCCTGGCCCCTGCACACGCTCTCCTCTCCGTCTCACTGGCCCTGCTCCGTCAAGGGCATGAGCTTTAAATTCTGGCTCTGTCACCCACTGGCTAGGGGAAGTGGCTTCACCTCTCTGAGCCTCATTTTCTCCCATCTGTAAAAATGGGAATGAATAATGCCAATCTTGTAGCACTGTAGTGAGGGTATAATGTGCTTGACACAGTGACAGCACACAGTAGGTCTCAGTGAAGAGTCCCCATGACTTGCTTGGACTATTTCTATAGGCCTCTCTCTAGTCCAGTGGTTCTCAACCTTCCTAATGCCGCGGCCCTTTAATACAGTTCCTCATGTTGTGGTGACCCCCAACCATAAAATTATTTTCTTTGCTACTTCATCACTGTAATTTTGCGACTGTTATGAATCGTCATGTAAATAGCTGATATGTAGGATGTATTTTCATTGTTACAAATTGAACGTAATTAAAGCATAGTGATTAATCACAGAAACAATATGTAATTATATATGTGTTTTTCGATGGTCTTAGGCGACCCTTGTGAAAGGGTCGTTTGACCCCCAAAGGGGTCATGACCCACAGGTTGAGAACCACTGCTCTAGCCCCTTGTCTCCAGTCTCTCCCCATGTCTGCACGTCTTGCAATCTATAGGAGCCTGTTTTTGGGCTGTTTCCCTGTCCACAAACCTTCAATACCTTCCTATTGCCCACCCTCATTGTGCCATTCAACTACTCAGCAAATACTTAATGAGATCCTAACTCGGGGAGCCAGAGTTACCATGAATGAATGAATAGCCAAGAATTTGTTGAGTGGATAGTAGCTGCCCAGGCTCTATGATGATTTTTTTTTTTGGAAACTGAGGCTGAGAGGAGTGTGGCACTTAGGATCACACAGCAGGTGAGTGCCTGGGAATACCTCCCCACACTGGTGCCACAGGCTGGAAATGCCACTGTCGCCATATCCATCCTTCTGGGTCAAGACCTTTCTTTTAAGATGCACCCCCAGGAGGTGGACAGGCAGCTGCAGCACGCACCCCGATGAGGGATCAAACCCACAACCTGGGTATGTGCCCTGACCAGGAATGGAACCCACCACTTTTTGGTGAATGGGTTGATGCTCCAACCAACAACACTGTCTAGGGCACAACTGTTCTTCATTTTCTTCATTATCACCATCACCATCATCAGTTTCCTCATCTGTAAACTGGGTATAACAACAGTACCCACTTCACAGGGCTATCGTGAGGATTAAATGGAAAAGTGCCGATAGAGCGTTTCATACGCAATACCTGGAACAGAGTAAAAGCCTATAAATGAGGCTATTGTTGTTATCATGACAATCAAATGTTCACCCAGTACCTGATTTGTGCCAGACTTTGTGCTGGGTGCCAAGCAGCCAGTAATCAGCCAGACACAGACCCTGCCCTCAAGGAGCCACAGTCCGGATTAGAGAGAAAGAATTAAACGTATGCAGAGTGTCAAATAACCTTCCTCCAGGCCGCTTCTCCTGCTAGACTAGGTGTGCTGAGGGGAGGCGGCAGGGGGGCCCAGAGTCCCTCAGGGTCTCTTCCTGGGCCAGGTTCCTGCAGGCTCACCCCCTCTTGGGGTGTGGCGGTCCCAGCTTCACCTGACTCAAGCAGCTGTGTGCTGCTGAGGGTCATCGGGCGGCTGAATGACACATCCTCTTGGTGGATGGGCGTGGATACAGCCACGTCAGGTTGGCCCTAGGCAGCCAGCGGAAGCCAGGCTGCTCCCCCAGCCCTGGGCTGCCTGGGTCCCAGGAAGCACTGGCCCTGGAGGCGGCCTCCTCAGCAGGCTTTCTAGGATGACGCCTGACTTCACCCTCACCAGACCCGTTTCCTTCCCCCGGGGAAGGGCGTGATGTGGGCACAGAGTTCGGGCTTGCCGTCGGTTAGGCCTCAGATGCTGGCTCTGCGGCTGACCAGCTGTGTGACCTCCACATGCCTCTGGGTCCTGGTCCGTCGAGTGGGAATGCCAGGGTGGTGAGCAGTCTGTGCCTTCGGGCCGGGGAGTGGGGCTTGGCACAGGCCTGGCACCCGGTAGGCCCAATGAGAGTTGGGTAATGTTATTGTGAATAACAATAGCCCAGTGGCCTCTCAGTCCTAAGGCTGCTGTCTCCCTGAGGCTCAGGAAGGGGCCCGTAGAGGCTGGAGCATCCTGCTTAAACCAGAGGTCTGGGCTCAGCCATCTACAGCAACCCTCGCTGCCTCAGTCTACCCATCTTCAGAATGGGCTGTGGACATCCTCTTGGCTGGAGTCTGTGTGAGGGAGGCCCAGTGGAGTGTCTGGGGAGAGACCCAGTGCACATCTCTGGTCTCTGGGGAAGGAGAGCCTGTTCAGCAGCCGTGCTCAGCAAGCTCCTCCCCTTCCTCCTCTGGGGCAGCCCAGGACCCACTCCTCCATGGAATCTGTGTCCCCTCACATCCCCCGACTCGGGGGCTGACTCTTCCTCCGAAAGTTCACAGATCTCCCAACTGGAGGCTCTCCCTGACCGCAGACTCCTTTTCTCTTCCAGGAGGAGTGATGGGCAGAACCAGCGCTTCCCTCAGGCACTAGACCTGTCGAGAGTGGACTTGGTCTCCCCACACGCCGCTTCACTCTACCCAAAGGTGAGTGCCCCCTCCCCGCTGCCCTGGTCAGGAGGCCCCCCCGGGCTGAGCGAGGCCTAAAATGAGCACTGGGCAGAGGTAAAATGTTCAGGCTACCACTCCTCACCCCTGGCGGGGCTTGGTATAGTCTAGGAGGTTGAATGGGGGGATCTGTGGCACAGCGGGGGGTGGGGGAGAACAGCTGGGTATAAACTGGCCCAACTATTCTTTTTTAAAAATTGATTTTAGAGCCGAAACCGGTTTGGCTCAGTAGATAGAGCGTCAGCTTGCGGACTGAAGGGTCCCAGGTTCGATTCCGGTCAGGGGCATGTGCCTGGGTTGCGGGCACATCCCCAGTAGGAGATGTGCAGGAGGCAGCTGATCGATGTTTCTCTCTCATCGATGTTTCTGGCTCTCTATCTCTCTCCCTTCCTCTCTGTGAAAAATCAATAAAAATATATTTAAAAAAAATAAAAATAAATAAAAATTTATTTTAGAGAGAGGAAGGGAGAGAGAAACATCTATCCTGCACGCGCCACAATGGGAGATCAAACCCACAACCTGGGTATGCACCCTGGTTGGAATGGAACCGGGAATGGAACCCACCACTTTTTGGTGTATGGGTTGATGCTCCAACCAACTGAGCAACACTGGCTAGGGCACAACTCTTCTTCATTTTCTTCATCATCATCTTCATCACCATCACCATCAGTTTCCTCATCTGTAAACTGGGTATGACGACAGTACCCACTTCACGGGGCTATTGTGAGGGTGAAGTGGAAAAGTGCCGATAGAGCGTTTCATACTCAATACCTGGAACAGAGTAAAAGCCCTATAAATGGGGCTATTGTTGTTATCATGACAAGTGTTCACCCAGTACCTGATTTGGGTCAGACTTTGTGCTGGGTGCCAAGTGGCCAGTAATCAACCAGACACAGACCCTGAGTCCAGCTTAGAGAGAAAGAATTAAACTTTTGCCGAGTGTCAGATATCAGTAACAAAGGCTAGCATTGCTTGAGATTTACTGTGGGCCACGTGGGTACTTAATGCTCTACATACAATGTATTTCATTTCATCCTCAAATTGTAAATTGTGCTAGCTTCTATTATTAGTCCCATTTTGCAGATGAGAAAATCAAGGCTCAGAGAGGTTAAGTTACTCATTCAAAGACACACAGGTAGGATGTTATGGCGTCAGGGCTGTAACTCGGGCTATCTGACCAGAGGGCCTGGTCTTGTGGCCTCTCTGATGCAGAGGATCATAGCCTGTACTGCAGTACATTTCACAGTTCTCAAGCATGTACACAGGCACCACGCCCCTGGGTCCTTTCACTAAACCTCGGGTGGCAGGCCTTATCCAGATGAGGATCCAGGTGCTCAGAGAGGTGAAGCGGTTTTCCCAAGGTCACACAGCCAGGAAATAGCAGAGGCAGGAGCTACCAAGCTCCTCTCCAAGCACTCTGGCCCGGAACAAGGGCCATGTTCCTCTCCTGGGCTGGGAGAGCAGATGGCCAAGGAATGGTGTCTTTGTGTGGGACCACCACCACCAAGGGGGTCCTAAGGGGGGGGTCCTCTGGACAGTATCAGGGGGACCCTGTCCTACTTTCTGTGCTTGGGCAACAGCTCAAGACGGGCCATGTGGATCCTGGGGCTCGGCAGGAAGGGAGTGACCCCGTGGCAGCTGGGTTTGTGAGTGAGCATCTGGGAGGAGGCCTGTGTTCTCACCAATGCTGTGTGCCCTTGGACTATCCCTTCTCTTCCTGGGCCTCAGTCTTCCATCAGGAAAATGAGGGTTGGAACAGCCCATCCCCCGAGTCCTGCCCGCTCAGAGAGCCCGAGGCTGGCCTTCTTGGATAAGTTCTGAGATGCCTCCCCTTGGGTTTCCTGGCCTCCACCCAGTCTGTCTAGAAACCTCCGTTTGTGCCAACACAGCCCAGATGGGAGGCTCGCGACAACCCATCCCTACCCCAGAATCAAGTGGATCACAGTCTATGGGTCATCTTCCTTCAACAGGAGGAAACCAGGGTCCAGAGAGATTGAGTGATTCGTCTGGATCCCCAGCAAACCAGTAGTGGAGCTGAGGGAACCAGGCCGGTGACCCAGTGTCCACCCCCCTCGCCCAGCACCCCTAACTCTGCACACATTTATCATGTTGATGGAGCCAGTTTGAGGGGCAGGAGGTCTCCCTGTGCCAGTGGGCAAATCCCTGCCCCTCTCTGGGCCTCCGTTTCCTTATCTGTAAAATAGAGGTGACACTTTCTTCTCTTCCACCTTGCCAGCTTGCAATTGAGTGATAACCCTGCAAGTAACTTTGGAAAGTAGGAAGCAGGAAGCCGAACTGTTTGTTACCAGCATGATGTTCCCAGGGTAGGATGGAACACTCAGGAGGGACTCTCTTCATTGAGAAGCCACACTTGAGATTCCCAGGACCTTCCTACCTGCCCCCTTATAGGGGCTTCTTCACTCGGGGATTCCAAAATCTGCACAGACATATGCACACAGCCTACCCGCATGTATGCACGTGGACACAATCATGTGTCTGCATATGTGTGCTGAAACTTGCACATGTACACATGCAAGCATGTACAGATGCATATGTACAAATGCACATACCCCGGATGTCCAGGCACACACACACACACAGCTGCTGCAGC